GAGAGAGAGAGAGAGAGAGAGCAGAGAGGAGAGAGAGGAGAGAGAGAGAGGAGAGAGAGAGATGAGAGAGAGAGAGAGAGACAGAGAGACAGAGAGACAGAGAAAGAGAGAGAGAGAGAGAAAGAGAAGGGAGAAGAAGAGAACACAGAGAGAGAGAGAGAGAAGAGAGACAGAAAGGACCGAAGGAAGCCCAAAACAAACCAAGGCCTTTCGAAACAAGCAGTAGTAAAGGACCATCCCCTCAATTGAGCGTTTTATGTGGGTTAATAGCTCGTTCACGATGCATGTTTACGAAAAGTGAAAATAGCAATTAACAACAATAATTCCTGCATTTGTCATTTTAGTTATGTGGGTAATGAAATTAAGTCTAATTAAGTCATTAACGCTAATAAACACACTTGGTAATGAATAGGCAAAACAGACAGAGAAAAAAATAATGCGGTATTTTGAGGGCTTGTTAACGTGAATCGATATACATTTCTTTCATCAGTAATTGTTAACTTAGGAGGTAATTATGTAATTGGGCGAGAGGAGTGAAATCTGTAGGTTATTCCCATAATTGGTATGATTATTTCTTCCGTTGTTGAAAGTAATAATGATGGTCGTTAGCATAAAGTAGTGAAACCTGTTTGATGGTTCTTATTGGAAACTAGTATAGCCATATAAGGGCTTGGTAGTACCTGTTTACTAGTACCTGGGTATGTAAACGAACTAATAAACTATATAGAAACATGTAGTTATTAAGAAAAAGGGTTGTGGTTGTACCTGTATATGGGGAAAACTGAGTCGTATCGGAAGAAGAGGACCAGGAGGGTTGTGTCCTCTGGAATGGGCGGGTCCAAGTCGCATGGCAGGAGGACACGCCCCCCTTCGACCGCTCGCACTTTGGTTAGAGGAGCTGTCAGGGAAGAAAAAAAAAAAGAAATTAAAAAAATGCGAAAAATGCTACTCCGACACACTCTACGGATCACGCACGCACCATTTCACACACGCGCTCGCCAATTTTTTTTTTTCTTTTTTTTCCATCCTCAAACTCATACCACAATAACACCACGCACACCACACCTCCCCTACACCACCCGCACTACACCCTCACACCCTTGCAAACCACCTTCACACCTTCAGACACCGCGACTTGCCACCCACACCCTTCCGGTCCCAAGTTACCCGCATAAACCCACACAATACACCACACTAGTTACTATTTCTGAGTTACCCGTATAAAATCCCCACAAATACACCACACAAAATTAATTCTGATTTACCCGTATAAAACCCACACAATACCCAAACTATACCCATTTCTGACTTACCGTATAAACCCACACAATATACCACACAATACCATTACTGTACCCATATAAATCCACACGATACCCCAAACTATACCATTCTGACTTACCCGTATAAACCCACACAATGATAAACACAATACATTACTGTTACCCGTATTAAAACCCACACAATACACACCCACACTATACCATTTCTGAGTTACCTGTATAAATCCCCACAATACCCCACACTCTACCCTTTTGAGCTCCCATATAAACCCACACAATAACACCCACACTATTACCATTTCTGAGCTCCCCGTATAAACCCACACAATACACACCACACCATCCCATTTCTGTTACCCCTATAAACCACACAATACACACACTATACCATTTCTGAGCTCCCCGTATAAACCCACACAATTACACACCCACACCATCCCTTACTGTTACCCAATATAAACCCACACAATACACACCACACTATACCCTTTCTGAGCTCCCCATATAAACCCACACAATACACACCATACACCACACTACACTATTTCAGCCTCGGGGGGGGGGGAAGATTACACCCTGACGCCCAATCATTTCACTTTGGACGAAAGGGTGATCATGTGGGCGGTCGAGTGGGAAGGGCGGAGGGATAATACGCACACTCTCTCTCACGCACACGCACACATGTAACGCACACAGATACACTTACATATATCGTATTCGCTGATATATGTAATGTTATATGTACGTTGTTATGTATATGAATGCACATGGTTATGTATGTTATGTTATGTTATGTTTATGTATAGCTTATGTACAGATGCACATGTACACGTTATATAAATACGTGTACACAAGCTTATAAATGTATGTAAAAAATACATGTATACAAAGACATATAATCATATAGCAACACAGATTGTAAAAAAAGAAAGAAAAAAATGGTAATAAAACTTTGAAGTCGAGACGAAAAAAAAATGATAATAAAAAAATAAAAGATAAAATCAGTGAACAAATCATTAAACTTTAAGCAGTTTAATATCAGTCTTTATCATCTTAATTCTAAGAGAAAAAAAGAAAAGAAGAAGAATGCCAAACGAATTCATACCACGAGCAAGCACCGACTTCAAAACAGGAAGACATACAGGACGAAACAAAAACAAACAAATTCACAGCGTAATTAGAACAAAGAGTTTGACAAAACAAGCAAATAAACAACAGTTTAATAAGACAACAACTCCCCCCCGTTCCACTTTTATTGTTTATTTTTAACTGATATATACGACCCTCCACCTACGTCAACTCCCGCCCTCGGTCCGCTGAGGTTTACAATCAAACGTAATATGTTACGTATCTTTTCAGCTTCTTCGGTAACTATACTAATCAGTTGCACTCTCGGCTCTAGACACCTCTGCTCCCATACGCCCCTAGCACCTCTTATTATAACCCGCCTCCCACTGCCGTTTCTCTTATAGATGTTCTCTCTTCCCGGGAGAATCTTGTACATACCCTCATGGGTGAGTCTGAGTGTTTGTCCCTCCCCCTACCTTCCTCGTCTCTATAATCCTCAGAGGTTCGTTCGTTCTGTTAGCGCCCCATGCTCCCTCTGGTGGTGGGTACAGCGACCGTATGCTCTCGTTATACCGCGCTCGGCGGCTGTGATCCCCTCACCCCTCCTACGCTGAGCTGGTCTCCGCCCCGCCTCCTCATCCGTAGTCTGGTCTACGCTGCGCTCCCCTTCCTCGCGTTGCGTGTAATGCTGCTAGCCCACCCTCTCGCCTCCATTCCTTCCCGTCTTATTGCGCCCCCCGCCCTCTTGCTTTCCGCCTCCTTACGGCGGACCCCTGCCCATCCTTCCTCTTTACCCGCGCTCCCGTCTTCCTTCCTCTCTTACTTCTCCTCCCCTCTAGTCTCTCCACCCTACCCCTTCCCATTCTTAAGGGTTCTCTTTGATTTTCCTCCTTCTTTCTTCTTTCGCTATCTTCCTTATTTTGTTTTTTTAATTCATACTCACATTTCCTCTTCCGCTTTTTTAGTTCTTTTTCTCTTCGCTCATCGGCTTTCTTTATGCTTGAGCTTCTTCTACCTTTATACGCCTATCCCCTGTTCTTCTCAGGTTTCTTGTCTATTTTGTCCGCTCATTCTCATACTGGCTTCTCTTTCGTGAAATCTATCTTTCGTCTCCTTTCTTCGCTCAAACTTCCCAACCCACGTTCTCAGTCCTCTGCGTCACCCTGTCGCTTCCTCCTCCTAAGCCCTGGTATCCCTACAGGCCTCTATCCACTGTCCACCCCCATCATGGCCGTCTCATCTCGTTCTATACTCCCCTTCCCCACACGCCCTCTCCTCTCTCCTAGCATCTTTTAAAGACCTCTGTCGCGCCCACTCTTCCCTCCGCCACCGCTCACGCCCTTATCTCCTATTCGCCACCCTAGAGCAACGCCTCTCCACCCAAGCAACTCGCATCACACTTGCAACACAGCGGACCCTTATCGCCTGCGTTCCCACTGTTCGATTACTGAGTCTCTTACTGGACCTCAAATGCCCCATGCTCTATCCAATCCGACCCGCGCCTTCCCTTCCCCACCCCACTGATCCCTCTCTCCCCCATCCACTGATACATCACGCCACTCCTCCCCTCGCCCTCCCTACCTGCCAACGCGGCAAATTTCCCGCCTACCCATACATTCCCCCTCCCTAACGCCTCCATAAATACCTTGTTCGCTCACATCGCCCACTCACCGTCTTCTTGTCCTACGCCATATAGTACCTCTCTCGCCACCGCCCCACCCTTTCCTCCTCCCCACCTCATCCCCATCCTCGACACCGCCCCTTACCCTTCCCCACCGAGTGTGATGTCAGATAGTTGTGTAGTAATTAGTTTTCCAATTGTCCGCCTGTTCCCCCCCCCTTCCCCTTTCACCACACTAGCGCCTTCTCTTTCCCTCGATCCCCACCGCTCTTTCCCTTCCGTCAATCGCTCTACGAAAGTCCGCAGCGCCTTGTTGTGTAGTGCCGCTCCCTATCCTCATGACCCCTGCCCCTTTCCCCTCCCCCTTCCCCCTCCTCCCTCCCCACCGCGCTTTCCATTCCTCACCGGTCCATAGTACAAGTCCTCCATCCCACCCCACTTGCCCCGTTGCCTCTCCCCCTCCTCCCTCGCTTCAACGTGCACCACAACCAGGCCCTTCGCCTTCTCCTGCCCTCCCCTCCCCAGTCCGCCGCCTTCGCCCTTCCCCACCCAAGTACGTTCCTCCGGCAGCCCCACCACCCTTCTCCTCTCCTCCCCGACGTCGCCCCGTAGCCCCCTCCCTTCCTGCACCCAAATACCCCCTCCGCACCCCTACAGCGACCCTCCCCTCGCCCACCCCGCGTAGCCCCGATCCGCTTCCCATAAGAGAGTTATATTCACCCCCCGCCTCACCCTCACGGCCCTCTCTCCTCCCTGCACGCCTGCAGGCAAACACACATAAAACCGTCTCTAAAGGAAGTTGTTTATGTTCAAGCAACAATCACACCTTTGCCATTAGACATTGCCTCTAATAATCCTGTTTAATTATGATTATCATCTGATTAGGCAAGAGAGAGTGAGAGAGAGGGGGGAGGGAGAGGGGAGAGGGAGGGGAGAGAGGGAGGGGAGGGGAGGGGGAGGGGAGGGGAGGGGAGGGGGGGGGGGGGAGGGAGAGAGGGGGAGGAAGGGAGGGAGAGAGGGAAGAGGGGAGGGAGGGAGGGAGTTAGGGGAGAGGGAGGGAGGGAGGGAGGGAGGGAGGGAGGGAGGGAGAGAGGGAGAGAGGGGAGAGAGGGAGAGAGGGAGAAGAGAGAGAGAGAGAGAGAGAGAGAGAGAGAAGAGAGAGAGAGAGAGAGAGAGAGAGAGAGAGAGAGAGAGAGAGAGAAAGAGAGAGAGAGAAAGAAAGAGAAAGAAAGAAAGAAAGAAAGAAAGAAAGAAAGAGAGAAAGAGAGAAAGAGAGAAAAGAGAGAAGCCAGAGCCAGACAAGACAAAGACACACATAAACAAACAACAAACAGAGAGAGAGTGAGAGAAACGGAAGGAAAGTTGTTTGTTCCTCAAGAGATGAAGAGCGACAGAGAAGGCTGAGATGTAATGCCGCGTCAGGATGCTGAGCGAGAGAAACGGATATGCTAAAATACATTTGAGTGCGTTTGTTTGTTCTGTGGTGTGTGTTTGTTTGTGGTGTGTGTGTGTGTGTTTGTGTTTGTGTGTGTGTGTTTTGTTTGTGTGTGTGTGTGTGTGTGTGTGTGTGTGTGTGTGTGTGTGTGTGTGTGTGTGTGTGTGTGGTGTGGTGTGTGTGTGTGGTTGTGTGTGTGTGTGTGTGTGTTGTTTGTTGTTGTGTGTGTGTGTGTGTGTGTGTGTGTGTGTTTGTGTGTGTGTTGTGTGTGGTGTTGTGTGTGTGTGTGTGTTGTGTGTGTGTGTGTGTGTGTGTGTGTGTGTGTGTGTGTGTTGTGTGTGTGTGTGTGTGTGTGTGGTGTGTTTGTGTGTGTGTGTGTATGTGTGTGTGTGTGTGTGTGTTGTGTGTGTGTGTGTGTGTGTGTGTGTGTTGTGTGTTGTGTTGTGTGTGTGTGTGTGTGTGTGTTTAAACAGAAATACACATCTTTAGAGAGATAGCTCGGTATACAAACAGACTGATAGATAAAGAGAC